TGTGTTTGTTTGTGTGTTTGTGTGTATGTGTGTCCGCACGAGAATCTCGGAAACTACTTTACCGATCTGTAGTGATGATGGATGGTGTTATATATAGTGATGATGATGGATGGTGTTATATGTAGTGATGATTGATGATTTTATATGTAGTGATGATTGATGTTATATGCAGTGATGATGGGTGGTGTTATATGTAGTGATGATGGATGGTGTTATATGTAGTGATGATGGATGGTGTTATATGTAATGATGATGGATGGTGTTATATGTAGTGATGATGGATGGTGTTATATGTAGTGATGATGGATGGTGTTATATGTAGTGATGATGGATGGTGTTATATGTAGTGATGAAGGATGATGTTATATGTAGTGATGATGGATGATGTTATAGTAGTATAATGGGTGGTGTTATATGTAGTGATGATGGATAGCGTTATATGTAGTGATGATGGATGGTGTTATATGTAGTGATGATGGATGGTGTTATATGTAGTGATGATGGATGATGTTATATGTAGTGAAGATTAGACAATAAAATAATAACAGTTTAATGCTAAAAAACTATACTTTGCTGTACCGTTGTAGTGAAAAACATGGGGGAACTTACATACACCGTTAATGAACTATTGATGGAAGAAGAAGTTTTGGGGACTGAACAGTGAGACAATGTGGAGCCTCCCCGAGGGTGGCGTCCTACCGTGGCCTAGCGGATGAGCCGCCCGGAGCGAACAGCGGAGAGTCGGTCACAGGAAACAGATCAGGAAAAGGAATCCCGTCTTAATGCTAACAGAAAGCGAACAGCGGACAGTCGGTAACAGGAAACAGATCAGGAAAGGGAATCCCGTCTAAATGCTGACAGATAGCAAACAGCAGAAAGGCCTTCTCTAGAAAATGATCACACGCATGAAATTGTTTAACATGTCCTTAAAAACGGGTGTAGTACCAGAATTCTGGAGGATAGCGAATGTAATACCGATTTTCAAGAAGGGTGATAGATCATTATCCTCTAACAACCGTCCAATCAGTCTAACATCAATTGTAGGCAAATTACAGGAAGCAATCATTTCAAACTCTAATCGAAATCACCTGGAAAAGCACAAGCTGATCAATGATTCCCAACCTGGCTTCACAAGCGGGCGTTCATGTCTAACTAATCTATTAACATTCTTTTCAGTGGTTTTCGAATCAGTGGGCGAGGGGCACGACTGTTATGTGGTATATCTTGACCTAAACCTAAACTTATTGTACATCCTCGATTTTGATATTCATCCAACCTCCTTTACACATGGGGTTTTAATTATTCGTGGATAGTAATGCAGTGGAAGCGCCCCTTGGAGAAAAACTCGAACCAGCACAAACACACTTAAATTAAAACAATGTATTCTCCGAGACCCGTGGAAAGATAGCACCTGTGATTGGGGTGAATGAGACGCACTGTAAAATTTGACACTTCTATTCCCTCTAACACTACAGCCAAAAACAATAATGGTTCACCAACATATGCGCACCTCTTAACCTGACTTAAAACACTACACTGAGGTACAAAGGTTATACAAGATATCAAAATTAGGTAGAAAATATTAAATGCCTTATGAAACACTACTAAGGTAACAGTGCTTCTTACATAAGAATGAGGAGCTCATCTGAAATCAGTTCCTCGTTATCTCACATCCCTTAGTGACACATAAACATTAGAACACGATACATGTACTATCAAGCACTGGGGAAATGGCATGAAACATTAGGAAATTATTAACTCCACCAGGAATAGGCCTTAAGGGCACTCAACAAAATAATATCAGTCCCTGAGAACTGTGGTAAAGCGTAATAAGAAAGTATTAGCTACACATATGGATCAATCATCGCCTGTCTGGAATGACCCACAACTACTACAATCCCAACTGGCCAAATAACCCGAAGGGTGTAACTACTCGCCTGCCAACGAGGCCGGCATTTTACAAAAACCCCGAGAAAATCACTCATGACCCATCAGGCATGCGGGTGTTCCCTGGTTTTAATTTTGTCCGTATTTTCTCTAGAACTCATGAGTCATGAATGTTTTTCTCCACCAATACCCGTGAAACATTCTTCTTAACCTCACACATAGGTTCAGCATGCAACATATTTTCCTTAAGGCACTAACAAGCCCTTTGCAACTTTGGATATGATTTCTTACGTCTCACGTGTGAAAACTCAACCATGAGGAGCGTTGTCCTCACACCTGGACTAAAGGAAATTCTAAACACACCTTACATTATTTCCCGTAACATGCATCACACAAACTCAGCATACACCCATACTAAGAGAAGACAAAATGTTTCTCTAAGTACCCACTAGACTCCTGGTCTCAGTGTGTGACCGTTCATTCACTCAGATAGCCTCAGTTTACACTCAGTACATCCATGAAACAGAAGAGAGTGGGGGCCAGCCAGCCACTGAAACCTGTCCAGCTGAGGGGGGTTCTATTTTCCCGTTAATAAGAGGTTTTCAATAAACTGCATGAAGATATGTGGTATTGTGAACCAAGGTGGAGGAGATCTGGTGACGCCAAACGATCGTTAACCGGGGCGGACGATTGTCCCACGTAGTTAATTGTCCTCAGAGACAGCTGGCTCCTCTCCAACCCTCAAACTGCTCACTCAACCGCATGGGCTCAAGACAGCTCAAGACCCCGTGGGCTGGGCTCAGACCGAGTGTGCTCAGACCGACCGAGTGGGCTCTACAGAATCCCTGCAATAAACCGTCTGTTAGCTATTGTTAACTTCTTCTCCGCCCCATCTAAACCCTCTCTGAGATTGAATACAACTTACTTGTTAATACTGACGTCGTAACACAAAGGAGACCAGACCACGTGGTGGCTTTCCTGGACACTCAGGCGTCCTGTCTGTTAGAACGCTCCCGCGCCACTGACGCCTGGTTTGCCCCAAGGAGTGAGCTTGGACTTGGGACATATTTTTCGCACAACTTGGATCTAGATGTAGGATAGTTATTTAGTGGGTCCCTTATTTGTGACCTGACCTGACTAGTCACGTCGCCCCCTTCTCTTAAGCTCCTCTACTTGTGTGTTGGTTTGGGGATTAGTGGATGACATCATTATGACCTGACCTCATGTTTAATAAGGTCACCCTGTATATTTAAGCCTCTCTCTGTCCATGTAATTCAGTTGCCTTTGAAGATGTCTTGAATAAAGACAAAAGCTAAGGTGCTCCGTTGTTTCCCTTTTCCCTGTTTGATTTACCTTATCCACATTTTCATTGTGGATTGTGTAGCTACATGATATATGCATATATATCATATATATCCCGTGTGATTTTATCAAGATATATATATATATATATTTTTTTTTTTTTCGGGGATTAGCCCACCCAGGCACAGGTTACTGACCTACATCGGGGCCTAGGGGGCGAAAATGTAATAATAATAATAATAATAATAATAATAATGATAATAATAATAATAATAATAATAATAATAATGATAATAATAATAATAATAATAATAATAATTATAATAATAATAATAATAATAATAATAATAATAATAATAATAATAATAATAATAATAATAATAAAGAACCATAAAGAAATACAAAATGAAAAAAAACATCAAGTGAGAAACAATATATGTATGTTGTTGTCAAAGTAAGAGAAACAATTGAGACCCTGCAATTGTGTGTAAATGAGGCAAGTCAGATCAGCAACCTGGGACTTGGTCACAAATTTTGTGAAGCCATATGGTAGAGGAGTCTACCATTAGACAACACATTATGCTTCCAATATCTTCCCAGGCGGTAGTACATCCCTGTTTGGGAGCTGCCTATATACGTCAGTATACATTAAAATAAGTAAGGCACATATAAAATTGATATAACTTACACTATGTCCATATATGTAGATATATGCTGTAGAATATGGTAATGTGTCGTAATTTCATAGACGTGTGTATGTCACTGACAGGAGTCACAGCTGATGCAAAGGTCGGTGACTGGGTCAGTGTCCACGAAAATCCTGAGTACTGTACAGCAAACTGCTGCTCCCTGTCAGTGAACTCAAGGACTCTGGGGTTCACTGGGTACACTAGTGCATCCACACACCATACCTCAGAATGCTGAGACCATCTCTCGTGGTCGGAGGTGTGTCATCACTAAGGGGGTGCTGGGGTGTTGGTAACTGGGGGTTACTCACGCCATACGAAAGAATTTTGTTGACAGGATGTTGATTGAGGAGTAGTCACACCTTGTGACAGTGAACAAATCATGTACACTTCAGCTCACAGGATTGTTGCCATAATTCAGCAACTATCAATAACTCATTAATGGTTATTGATAAAAAGAAACTTGTCCACCTCTTTGGATGGCAAATTAAAAATCACTCAACGAATAACGCTTCACTACGGGATATTATAATACACTTTGGAAGAATATTACACGTCATGGTTTTCTCTTTTTTCTTCGACTAAAAACACTTATGACTTGTTCTGTAGAATGTATATGTATTATATAAACCGGAATTTTGTTATCCTTTCCCACTTTGCTGCCACCTATGAACTGATCGTTGTTTCTTGATATAACAGTAATATAACGCATATAACAATATCTTTGATTGTTATTTTATATATACGTACACATTTGGGTCCGTAGATCCGCTGCCACCTATGAACTGGTTTTTTTAATGGTTTATTCTACAATTAAGTTAATGTTAATGGAACAGTAATATAACAATAGTATAACGGGTTTTAGTAGCAAAACCCAGCAATCCTTTCTGTATTTATTAAGAAAATATATTACATACAGTTCCAAGTGTACTGTATATCTCCGTAACTTAATCACTGTAGCTATTAGTGTTAAATGAAGATGGAGGCTATATAAAATATTCCTTCTAAATACATCCTGCTTGTGTGAAAGGTTGAGTAAGAGTACTTGTAATTCCCGTCGAGGGAGACCGGTAATATATGTCGTTCCTCAAGGTAAATAATGAAGCCAATCTCCCCACGTTCTAGGTGGTGATGTTACTCGGGTGTCACATAATGGTGGTGGTGGTGGTGGTGAGCGCTGTACCCAAAGCTGTCCAGGAAGTGAGTGGGTCTATGGAGCAGGTGGGCGTGGATGTCGGTGTGATGATGAGTCAGGTTTTGGAACACCATCTCACTGGCTGTCACCTAGTGCTCGTCACAACTACACTGCATTTATACGTCTCCACCAGTGTAATAAGGTATATAAATTTTATGAGGCTCTGGTCTTGTATTAGTGCCTTCACTATCAACTATTAGTAACATAGGCCGAAAGAAGCCGTGCTTATACATAGGTAAATTATAATGCCTTAATATCATTATTCTGAGTATATACTTAACTTGCTTATCGATAGTCAGGTTTTACTGGAAGATCTCGTCATTAATGTGATTTGTGCTTTATTAAGATCATGTAAAAACGAAGCCGATTTTAGGGAACTTGCGTACATAATAATGCAGAACGAGAAGCGATTAAGCTACAATCAAATGTACAATTAGTTAAAACAACTATATGTGCCTACTTTATGGGGAAACAATATGAGACCGTGGACGATAAATTTTGGTCACACGTAAAATTTCGGAGCATATCAAGCCTCACCTGCACAGATAGTTTGTTTTAGCTACTGTACATCCCAGCCATAGTTCCACACGTTATTAAACAAATTTATTAGAATTTATCTGTGATACTGTTTGATTCGATAATAGATAAAACAGCTTATAAAACAAGACATTTTACTTAAAATTTTCCTCAGACACATGGGTGTGCGTGTAGAGGCTGGCGTGGCAGTGGAAGCTGGGTGGATGTTGTCCCAGGACCAGCTGACCCAGGACCACCTCCTGCAGGGGCTGTGGGGAGACATCAGAACCACCTGCCGGGCCCTCATCCTTGATCTCACTGCCAACAACAGTGCTGATTCCGTCATGAAGTAATGCTTAATAACGTAGAAGAAAAGAGTTTTACAATATATATATATATATATATATATATATATATATATATATATATATATATATATATATATATATATATATATATATATATATATATATATATATATATATGCAAGTAAATCACTGTAGGTGCGCGTGATCTGTATATGCTGATAACCACAAGGAAAGAAGAAAACACGAAGTTCCCAATCGCTTTCGTGAAATTCACATCTTCGAAAGCGCTTGGGAACTTCATTATCTTCTTCCTCATATATATATATATATATATATATATATATATATATATATATATATATATATATATATATATATATATATATATATATATATATATATATATATATATATATATATATATATATATATATATATATTTCATGTAGATCTACAATCAAAACGTGGATAAGATAAATCTTGATCAAATCACACAGGGAAAAGGAAAACAATGGAGCACCTTAGCTTTCGTCTTTATTCAAGACATCTTCAGAGGCAACTAAATTACATGGACCGACAGAGGCTTATGTACACAGGGTGACCTTATAAAACATCAGGCCAGGTCAAAACCATGACATCTACTAATCCATACACCACCACCACCGCAAACATTAGAGGAGCTTATAAGATAAGGTGACTCAAAAATGAAGGGGTTATTGAAAAAGAACCCAGATCTCATCAAACAGTTTTCTCAAATCAATCCCACTTTACCTTATAAGTGTGGAGTGATCAAAACACATAAGCTAAATAATCCATTACGTCCTATCGTGACTTCTATGGAGGAACTAGGGAACCGTGATCACAGAGAAATCAGGTTTAACCTAAATTGGAAAACGAAAAATAATGACAATATGGTAAGAGTCCCAGAATTTCGATCAGCAGATTATGAGGGGCTAAGAAGGTACCTAGGTGAGGTCGCCTGGGAACGGTCAGGAACAAAATATACCATACAGAAAAATTAGGTCAAATACAATGAGCCAAAGTGCATGACCAAAAAACTTAAAATGACGTGGGAATAAAGAAAAGAATTTATAAGAAATTAAAGGTAGGGGAGGAGCATCTCAGAGATAGGTATGAAAAACTATCTAGGATTCGCAAGAGAATCCAAGGCAAAGCCCAAGATTTTTTTTCCAGGTATATAGGACAAAGGTCAAGGACAAGGTGGGCTTTTAAAGTCAGAGAGAGGGGACGTGATCGATGATAGTGCAGAAATAAGCAGAGCATTAAACAGCTACTGCCTATCAGGTTTTACAGAAGAAATTCACAAGGAAACGCCAGGGGATGGAGCTGACATTTAGGGGAAAGGAAGAAGAGAAACTAAAGGATATCACTATAAAAAAAGAGGTTGTTCTTAAGAAGATAAATGAATTTAAAAAGATAAAATCCTCAGGGCCGGATGAAATTTTCCCTCGAGTCTACAAAGAGTGTAAAGAACAGACTAGCGGATCCCTTGTAATTTTATTTACAAAATCATTAGACACGGGAGATGCGCCAGTCTTGTGGAGAAGGGCAAATGTAGTACCCAAATTCAAAAAGGGAGACAGAGCATCAGCGTCAAATTACCCGCCGATTAGTTTGACGTCAGTAGTGGGGAAATTTCTTTAATCAATTGTAGCAAACAACATCTGATCGCATTTATAGAAAAACAAATTAATCTACGACTCTCAACATGGATTTACAAATGGAAATTTTTTTCTAACAAATCTCCTGATGTTTGTTAAGAAAGTCTGAGGTAGTAGATAATGACGAAAATTACGATGTTATTTACTTAAATTTTAGCAAAACTTTTGACAGAGTACCTCATCAGAGGCTTCTGAGAAAAGTTAAGGCTCATGGTACCGACAGGGAAAGTTTTAAATTGGATGAAATCATAACTCACAGATAGAACACAGAGGGTTAGCATAGATGGTTTCAAATCTGAATGGGGCTGTGTAACTAGTGGGGTTCCCCACGAGTCAGTACTAGGCTCACTCTTGTTAAATAATCTACATAAACGATCTAAATACTAGGATCAGCAGTGATATAAGCAAGTTTACGGATGACACCAAAATAAGGCGGCAGATTAATTCAGGGTATGATGCAAATGCACCACAGGAGGTAAATTCCAAGAGTGGCCAGATAAATGGCAAATGAAATTCAACACCAGCAAGTGCAGCGAACTTAGTATTGGAAGAACAAATACTGTCAATGTATATAGCCTTAACAACATCAACCTAGAGAAGTCGACTTGTAAAAGAGACTTAGGGGTACTTGTAAGCCCTGACCTTCGGCCTAGAAAACAGTGCACTAATGTTCGAAATAAGGCAGACAAAGTATTAGGTTTTATATCTAGAAGTGTAAGTAATAAGAGTGCGGAGGTCATATTGCAATTATATCTTGTGCTAGTCAAGCCGCACCTCGATTATGCGGTTCACTTCTGGTGCCCTTATTATAGAATGGATATCAATTCACTGCAGTCGGTGCAGCGAAGAATGACGAAAATGATTCCGGGACTCAGAAACCTTCCATATCAGAATAGGTTAAAGAAACTAAACTTGCATTCCCTAGAAAGACGAAGAGTGCGGGGAGATATGATAGAAGTATTCAGGTGGGTGAAAGGAATCAATAAAGGTGATTTAGATAAAGTTCTTATAATATCCGAGCAGGATAGGACTCGGAACAACGGATTCAAGTTGGATAAGTTTAGATTTAGGAGGGAGATAGGAAGGAACTGGTTTACAAATAGGGTGCTGGACGAGTGGAACAAGCTTAGCATCTTTGTAGTAAGTGCTGGAACGCTGGAAAGTTTCAAAGGGAGGCTGGATAGATTCATGGATGATAGAGAGTGGTTGTAACTCTCGACAGGAGCTGCCATGCACAGGCCCACCGGCCAATTGCAGACTCCTTATTTTCTTTTAATCTTATGTCGCCCGTTCTTATAATCTCTTCATATGTTTCCTGTGTGGTAGGTGTGTGGATTAGTGGATGTCATGTTTTTTGACCTGACCTCATGTTTAGTAAGATCACCCTGTGACCGGGGAACGCTAATCGCTAGACCACCAGGATACTAAAAGCAGTCCTAGACTCTGTTATATTTCACACAAAGCCTGTTCAACGAGCTTATGGTGCTAATGAAATATATATATACTGTATATATATATATATATATATATATATATATATATATATATATATATATATATATATATATATATATATATATATATATATATATATATATATATTACAAGGAAGAGGAAAACACGAAGTTCCCAAGATGTGAATTACACTAAAGCGCTTGGGAACTTCGTGTGGATTCACCTAGATGCACCTACAGTGATTTACTTGCATATATATATATATATATATATATATATATATATATATATATATATATATATATATATATATATATATATATATATATATATATATATATATATATATATATATATATATTTATAGTTTTACCTCCAGTGTCAAATAAAATTAAAGTTATGGCTCAAAGAAATTTTTAGGTAATATTTAGCTTTTTTCATTCCAACTGCGATTATTTCTTATCATTTTACCAGTATACTAATTTAATTAGTGTTAATGTCTGTAATGCGCTTTTATAGCCGTGTAATTATTACACCCGCTGTTAAGAGCGGTGGAGTATGTAATATTTTGCAAAATATTATTCGTGGGAGTTTCAAAATTTAAATTAAACCATCACGATCTTAGTCGCTGCTATATTAATGGCCAAAGGAGACTTGCATCCTGCCAATATTAACAGCCATCTTCCTTAACCAGATGATTTGTAACTTCCACCTTCATATTCTTGTCATTGACAGTAAAGACAAATACTAATAATAGATTTAACCTTAATATATTTATAGTATCAGTGAAATAATTGGTTGAATAACCTCGAAAATAAAGCCCTTCGAACATGCCATTGCAAACTTAAGATCCTTTACAATCCAGAGATATGCATCTCTTGCAACTTTTATTTGTGTATTTATAATGCAGCACAAACTTAGAACATACCAATTACAAAATAATAAATAATAATAATAATAATTAACGGTTTATTGAAAGAGCTTGGCAGCCAAAAGGCTGAAAATATACAGTTACATATTTGGGGAATGGGTTACGAATTACAAATAATATAAAAGTAACATAAGTGACACAAATAAGACATGTAATAACTAGATGGGGAAAAGCTCAAACTACAGTTCATTTCAACATAGTGACAGTGCAAGGAGTAGTGTTTACTGGGAGTGAATACACTGATTTATTACAAGTTATTGATAATTTTTACAGGTTGGTAGAGGTGGCAGGACTCTGGCAGAGGTCAGGTACGGTGGTAGTTGTTGTGGGTAAGAGGGCAGGAGTGAAGGCCGTACTCCTCCACCATAGTCTCCGTAACACACTCCACGCTCTCTACCTGGCCCCCCATGACCTGACCTTCCACTCCCCACCACGTTCCAGTAACTCACGCCTCAGGAAGGTCCTCGAGAAGGAAGGTTAGAGGGTGTACAGGGGGTAATAGTTGTAATTAACATTTTCATGATCATAGAAACTTCTTTGGGAAAACTCATTTCGTACAAATGTAAATGATGAACACGATCCTTCGCCCCAAGATGTCTATTCTATTTACCCTAAAGAAAACCTCGACCTGATGCAGAGTTTTAAGAAAGCAGCGCCGAAGTTTGCCTCTTGACCAGTGCAGGGACTTTTAAAAGATATCTTTGGCTGATTGTTCTTTACTGGCTTTTACTTTTAGGTTTTTATTTACTCTTCCTACAGTCTATATTCACAGGCCAACTGGCCGTCAAACTGAATTACAATGACTCTCGCCTCGTAGGGTAACTGCACCCTAAGGTTTAGTCAAAGTTGACTGCTAATGGGTGTAAGGAATGAGACAGTGAGACTCGCACCTCACAGAGTGCGCCAAAACAAGTGAGCAGGTATTATATATGGTACTATGGTGGACAAAAATTCCTTCAACCTCCCTCTATTTCCCCCTCTGCCTCCCCCCCCCCTCATACGCACTACATAGTGCGCCATCTGTTGGACATTACAGCACTTCCCTCAGTTGCTTCGTTATTCGAACCACAGGTGATTCAGTCATATTGTGGCTGGATGAGGGAAGGAACTTTTGTCCACCATAGTACAGTATAACGTTTCGGATTTAACGGTAAAATAGTGTCCAAGGCATTGGTAGTTAAGATGAATTTAGAGAGTTTGCCAAAGGTTTTGTTAAATGACAACAAGGAGCGAATTGGTCTGCACTCTCATGAGTTCCCAACGTAGGTTATAGCCATATTTAATACTACGAAAGATATTTTTAGGGTGGTGGGGGGGGGGGGACAGAAGGACAACCAAATTATAAAAAAAAAATGTTTAATCCCTTTTGCTGCAATGACATGCTTAGATGTAAAGAATTGCGATGGATACTTCTGCGGTTACATTGATGCACATACACGTTCTTGCACACTTAAAATCACTTTGATTCAGTCATAAACATAAGGTCAGGTCATCTATTACGTGACTTAGACTTTTGTAAAGCGTTTGACAGAGTACCGCATCAGAGGCTTCTGAGAAAAGTTAAGGCTCATGTTATCGAGGGGAAAGTTTTAAATTGGATAAAATCATGGCTCACCGATAGAACACAGAGGGTCAGCGTAGATGGTGTTCAATCAGAGTGGGGCTGTGTAACCAGTGGGGTTCCCCAGGGGTCAGTACTGGGCCCACTCTTGTTCATAATCTACATAAACGATCTAGATACTGGGATCAGCAGTGACATAAGCAAGTTTGCAGATGACACCAAAATAGGGCTGCAGATTAATTCAGGGCAGGATGCAAATGCACTAGAGGAGGATTTAAATAAACTGCAGGAGTGGTCAGAAATGGCAAATGAAATTCAACGCAAGCAAGTGCACCGTACTTAATATTGGTACAGGGCTGAAGTTTGGTAGGGAAGTGCGGATAACCTAGAGGATGGTAATGCACTGTAAATAATTTTCCCTTCACTGGAATAAATCTTGTAACTCAGCCAGTACACACACACACACACACACACACACACACACACACACACATATATATATATATATATATATATATATATATATATATATATATATATATATATATATATATATATATATATATATATATATATATATATATATATATATATCTATATATATATATATATATATCCTATATATATATATATATCTATATATAAATATACCCT